CGATAATAGTAGGAGCCCCAGCGCTGTCGTTGGTAAGTGTACGGTTGTTGGTCATATTTGTACACTGTTTGTTTCATCTCATGAGAGTGTTTTAGTTGTGAGTCGGTCTCAGGGTTGAATAGGCCTGCCTCATCCATAGGGAGATCCTCAATGAGAGAACGTTGAGATTGAGAAAGGATCGCATCTCTAAGCCATGCATGACGGCGAAGGGCTACTGATCCTGCAATTAGTTTCCCAGAATTATCAGCAGTGTTTCTTGCTAGGTCTTTTTGCAGTTTGGCTAAGAGAAGGGCCTCTTGTTGGAAAGCCTTAGCCAGTGGTTGCTCAGTTGGTGGTAAGAGTTCTAGGTATGGGGATATCTTGTTCCAGAGGAGAGTCTGGTAAACACTCATGTAAACCCCATAATGGGCCATGCGTGCGAAAAGGCATGCTGAGGAATAGAATTTTTTGGCCATAGAGTCTAGCTTCCTCCCTTCTTTGTCAGAGGGGGATGCTTGGTTTCTTTGGATAGGTCTTGGTTGAGCATCGGTCACCACAGAGTTTGCCTTAGGCATCTTAGAGAGCCATGAGGCTGTGGAAAGATCAATACGGTATAAGTTTTCTGCTCTTTTAGGGGTTGCTGGAACCAAGGCTGGGGCAACTCCTGTATTTTTTAGAATTTTCAAGAGAAATGGAAGTGTGGGCAACACAGTAGATGTAGGTGTTTGTTGTTCAGTGGATGTAAAGCATGGATCTGACACAGTATCTGAAGGTTCAGGAGTGGCAAAGTTTAGGGCTTTGGCAAGCCTTATTAACAGAGCTGAGAATTTTTTAAAATCTTCTAAATGCTGAGGGGAAGGGTCAGGGTCTGGTTGGGGATCTTGAATGACTGGTGTGTCATCTGTGGACTCCAAATCGATTGTATCTGTTTCTATTTGGGGGGGCATGGTAGGTTCCAAAGTAAAGCCCTGGGGATCCATCTCCCCTTGGGGATTTGGGGGACGAGAGAGTGTAGCGGAAGGAGGTTCACGCGGGGGTTGGGGAAAGTTTGGATCAGAGTAATGAGGTGGATGCATTCCCCTGAATGAATCAGGGGGGGGGGAGGTGGGTAGTAGAAGGGATAAACAGGGAAGGGAGGAGGGGGAGGGTACATGTGGTAAGGGTATTCGTGGTATCCATAAAGCTGCTGGTGAGAAGGAGGCACTGTGCGCGTCCTTTTGGGAGGGGGAAGAGAAGGAGTTGTGGACTGGCGTGGAACCGGGGATGGAGAGCGGCGGCGGCGCCCGCTGGAGTGCGCCGAGGCGCTGGGCTGAGCCGGGGATGGTGACTCATCCGGTTCCGGGGATTGGGGAGGGCTGAGTGAAGGAGGTGAATTTTGAGAGGGCGGGAGGGGCGGGGGGGAGAGAGAAGCGTCTGGAGGAGGCTGCGGTTCCAGCTCCATGTGGGGAGCTAAGAGCTCGAGAGGAGGGAGATGGGAGGGGTCTTCCATGTGGAGGAGGGAAGGGAGCGGTTCCTGGAGCTGCAAAGTGGAACCGGGGAGAAAAGGCACAGACTGCAATACAGGGGGACTCAAGGGCTGTGTGCCAGTGAGTTGCCGTCCCTTTTTTTGTTTGTTTGATTTTTCTTTCGCTTTTGCAGACCTCGTGGTCTGTTTAGCTGTTTTGGATTTCTTTTTCTGCGGCTCCACAGTGGGAGAGTCCGCTTGCTCTCTGTCCCGCCTATCCCCAACACGTGGGGAGGGAGGCTGGGAGGTAACTTGAACAGGGGAGGATTGAGAGGGGGCGGGAGGAGCTTGCGGGGCCAGGGCCCGCTCGTATAGGAGAGCTTTTAGTCTGGCATCTCTGCCTTTGCGAGCTCTGGACGTGAAGCTAAGGCAAATCTCGCAAGTCTGGAGATTGTGGGTCTCTCCTAGACATAAAAGGCATTTAGAGTGTTTGTCTGCCTCGGGGAGATTGGCCCCGCAGGAGGAGCAGTTTTTAAAACAGAGGGAAGACATCTAGCCTGATTTAGAATGGTCGTCAGCCGGTCCGTGGTCGAGGGAAGGAGAGGTCTGGTCGTCGAGGGAGAGTCCTGGGTCAAAAAGCCAACAGAGTCCCAAAAAAGAGAAGGAGAAGTCCTGACGATGCTGCCTGTTTGGCGCGGAAAAAGGAACTACCTCTCAGACGCCCGCGGGGGCTGATATACCGGGGGGCGGAGAGTGGGCGGGGCTTATGTTTATTCTTTAAATAATCATTTAAAAATTCATTAAAAATTCTAGAAGTTCCGGATTGCTGCGCATGCGCACAAGAGAACCCATAGGTGTGCATTTCACGGAAGACACGAAGAAAAAATTACATATATTAGAAACCAACACTTTCCCATTACTTTATTTTCCAGATTACCAGACTGGACCACAGCAACGCGTGGCAGAGGACAGCTAGTACTATATACGTTTTTGTTCCAACTAGGAACAATCCGCAGACTCAAGTCTCTTCATTACTCTTGAAAGGCAGTATTGATAAAAAACCCTCTGCAATGTTATATCGAAGGAAGTCAAGAACTCAGCAGGATAAAATATGGATCAATATGACAAAACCATAACCTATATAGAGGATTATATTTTAAGTGTCCTACTTTATGTCTGAACACAAAGTGTGATGTCTCTATCGTTATGAACTCATCATTTTATAATGAATGTCATCCTATGAAACATTTGATGTATGTTTTAAATGTTCATGTTTTTATCATTTGTTTAGGTGTCTTGGGAAGGGTGTGTGTGTGTGCATAAACCACAAAGCAGGATTTGAAATGAGAAATAACTAAACAAATAAATCAAACAAAGTACCCTGCTGTTGTTTTCAATGTGACTTTAGAAATGTAAAAAAAATATATATCTTATGGCATTCTTTCATTACACAAATATTCATGTAAGACTGAAAGAAAATTGATCTGCATTCTCTTGTCACAAATAATAGCATGAAGTTTCTATTAATATTCTTTGCTAATATACACACAACATTCAGTTTCAGAACGTGAGCAATGATTTTTTTCCTTTAAAAATCCAATAAAGGAATCAGGTAGGATGGTATACGTTGGTGAACTGAATGGAAAAAACAGTGAACGTTTCCTCTGCTTCATACACAAAAATAGTGGAAAGATTAGCTGGAATCTGAAGAACCACCTGTGTAAAAAGAGGAACTAGGAGGTAACCCGGAGGGGGGGGGCAACGGGTCAAACTGCTGTGCTGCAGAACTTGCTAACTTGAAGATTGGTGGTTCAAATCCACGGGAAGGAGTGAGCTCCTACTGTTAGCCCCAGCTTCTGCCAATCTAGCAATTTGAAAGCATGCAAATGTAATTAGACCAATAGATACTGCGTTGGAGAGAAGGTAAACGACATTCCATGCCAGCCACATAACCTAGGAGGTGTCTATGGACAATGGAGGCTCTTCAACTTAGAAATGTTGCACCCCCAGAGCCAGAGATGAAAGGAAAAGCCCTTACTTTTATCTGTGTATCTGTGTTTCGTTGTTTCTAGGCACTGAATGTTTGTCTTTGTGTCTGTATATGCTAGAATCTGCCCCGAGTCCCCTCAGGAAGATAGGATGGAATAGAAATAAAGTTGTTGTTGTTGTTACCAATTTCCTGCTATCACCTTGAGGTATTCTGTGAACTGCATCTTTCAGGAGGGTTCCTCAATCCACAGGACTCGTTTTTGGATTGTACAAGTGAGGAAAGCCTTGCTACAGAAGCAGAACTCCCAATTCTGGACCCTTTAGTATTTTGGACCTAATTCACTTTATGTAGTACTAAGGACGGACAGTAGAAGCAAGTAGAATTAATCCCTATCAACTAAATGAAAAGATTATAAAACCTCTCCCACACACCAGCCACTCTTCAGTATGAGCAGCTGTCCAAACAAGCATGTGCCTTATAAATAGAGAGCACTGAATCCCACAAAGGCAACTTCTACGGGGAAAAGGCACTAGGTTTTAATTTCTTCATAGTACGAGACAAAATAGTTATGGTAGGAAATGTCTAACTGATTTACATAAAGTTGATTATACCAGCCTTATTTATAACTCTGTCAAAACTTCTTGAGATGCATGTCGAATTTCCTTCTATATTAAATTCCATGCTGAAGCATCCAAGTAATTTTTCAAGGCCCCTCCTGTGTTTTTGGTTAACACAGATCACTGTCTTCAGGGCAAACGCAAGGGCACTAAAAACACAGGTCTGCTGAAATGCATCACCTATCCCAACTGTCAGTCTATGAAAGTGTTTTGCAAATATAATTAAAATGTTATACAAAACCTGCTTATCATTTTTGTCTTATTTTTTCTGCATATGTTCTCCAACAGAATCAATATAAGTGTTACTCCAGTAAATACATGCAAAGGAATAATTGTCCATGGACTGTTCACCAAACTTTGGCAATGGAGCTGTGGCAGTTTTCTAGAAATAAGAGTACTGAGATCTTAAAAACACTAGGAAAAAGATATGGAAGATCTATTCCAGAAGATTGATATATTCTGGACACATTTATTTCAGTTATTCCTTCAGATCTCACAACCTCTGAGGATGCCTACCATAGATGCAGGCAAAACATCAGAAGAGAAACTTCTAGAACATGGTCATACAGCCCAAAAACACTACAACAACCCTATTCCTTCAGTTGTTTATTACAGTCACCCATCAAATACCCTTGAGATTTATTCAGATGTTTAACTGAGGTGTTAAGGAAATAACAATTCTCGGGTGGTCTAAAGCAGAACTCAAACAGAAGTTACACATCTGACAGTATGCCCTTATCTTACATCTCCTTCCCTTTTCAACCCTGAGCATTATTCTCCCTGTTCAATATCTTATTACAAGCGGCTAATCCAGAACTAGATGGTAAGGAAGCAGGAGATAATTTGTGACTCAATATAATGATCTGTACATTCAACCACTCCCAACTCAAAGGTAATCTCATATGACCACTTGACCACCCGCTTTCTCTCTCATACATACAATGGTCTCAGAATTTGCCAAAATAATTACCTGTGGCCAAATAGATTATATGAAAAAGCATGTCTTTGCCTTGTACCACATCTACCACCACATGGGAAAAACGGCTGTTGTCCTCCATGAAATATGGAACTGGTGTGATAGGCTGTATCACTTCATGCATCAAAATAAACTTCTGGGCATCTTGAAGATTCCTCTCTGTCAGGTTCAGATACAGGCCTTGGTCCATGGTGCCGCACTGAAAATGGATGCAGTAACATGATAAAGATTGATATGAGACATATATTGTACTCCCAGAGTAGAGGCATATATTATATCCCAGATCTCAAACTACAAAAATTCTCAGGCTAGCTCTGACATAAATATCTGTAGTGATGACTGATCATCCTGATATAAGATGAGTTCCAGAGGGAAATACCATTTCATAAAAGCAAGTCATCCACACTTCCTCTGGAGGTAGTTGATTTAATGAGTATAAGCACTGCTGAGCACATCAAAAGACAATATAAAGAAAGAAAAATGTTTTGTTATCTAAATGTCAGAGCTTGGAAACCTTCCTTTTTGGACTATAGCTTCCAAAATCACAAGGTCAACAGTCTTTACCCTCAGAATACCCATCCTTACAAGAGAGGCTTGTTAAAGCACTGCTCTATATGCATCTCCTAGAGGTGAGAATACATGATCTGGAAGGATATCACCAGGTTCTGCTATAGTTGCAGCTTTAGCAAGAATAGAAACATTTTCTTGCAGGGGGTTCTTCCCTTCCATGTTGACTTGCCTGGACAAGGCTTTCCCAAACAAAAGCCTGGACCATAACAATAAATTCCTTGCTCCGTTCTAACTTGTTAGGGTGAAAAGAACAGGCGGGTTGCCTTGAATTACTGTTTCACCCTGCAGGCTAAACAAGAAAAAGGTGACTTGGTTGCATTTACACTCAAATGAGTGCAAAATTATGCCTTAGATATGGTAAATACATGGTTACTATATTTTAACCTGTCATTTCTTTCTTTGTCTTTACAAATGCATATTTCACAGAAGGATATACTAAATAAGCAAGGATTGAAATAATAATAGCTTTATTTTTATATCCTGCCTCAGACCGGCTTACATGGGGCCAAGCCCAATCAAGAAAGTTAAAATGTAACACATTAGAAAAACATAAAAACAACATTATAACATTGTCGAAGGCTTTCGTGGCGGGAATCAATGGGGTTGTTGTAGGTTTTTCAGGCTATATGGCCATGTTCTAGAAGCATTCTCTCCTGACGTTTCGCCTGCATCTATGGAAAGCATCCATAGAAACGTCAGGAGAGAAAGCTTCTAGAACATGGCCATATAGCCCGGAAAACCTACAACAACCCAACATTATACTAATATATATAACAAGCATCAAAACCAACAACAACAGCATAATTCAAGTCTTGAAATGGTTTTTCCCTTGCAATGAGCAAGACCAGTTTCTCAAAACTATCTTCACAATGCATTTCACACTTTAGAGAACTTATTTTATATAGTACATATCCAGGATTCCTTATGCTTGCTGGGAGTATTTTAGGTATCATAGTTCAAAAAATAAACTTTTCAAATATTGCTTCCTATAGATGTACCTACCAGTGGTCCTCTACTGGTTCAGCTCATCTGGTGATTTAGGTGGGCCCTTATCCTATTCCCCTGATTTTTCAGAAATAATGTGTACTTAGGCAATCACTCATTTACCCTTGACATTAAGTCTAGTCAAGTCCAACTCTTGGGGGGGGGGGTGCTCATCTCCATTTCTAAGTTGAAGAACCAGCATTGTTTGTAGATGCCTCCAAGGTCATGTGGCCAACCCTGCTGAAGCAGTACCTATTGATTTACTCACATTTGCATGTTTTTAAAATGCTAGGTTGGCAGAAGCTGGTCCTAACAGCAGGAATTCACATCCTGGATAGAAACTGCCAACCTTTCGGTTAGCAAATTCAGCAGTGGTTTAACCGACTGCGCCACCGGGGACTCCAATCTCATATTTTTACTCCCTTTAAAACAAGGCACACTGAGAACACACGCATTATTTTCAAGCTGAATAGGACTCCCAGAAGTGAAATTCAGCTTGAAAACAAGATACACAATGCTCCCATTTTGCTTCAATTATAGATTGCTGGGGTGCAATCCCAGGCAAAGCAATGCAGTCAGACCTCTACCTATCATATAAACCAATATGCATATCAATACACAATTAGAATGGTAGCCTGGGGAAAATAAGTTATTGCAGTTTTGTGCTATGCATACCATTATTCACTTTGAGAAACATCTAATCTGCAATCACACTCTTACAATCTAAATTTTTATTAGTTTATTTAAATATTTTCTAAACTTCTGCTAACCTAAATATTACCAGTTCAAGTTGGAACTGGAACATCTCTTATTTTGACATGGAAAAATTAGTTTTAAGGTATAGATCTAAAGATCACTATCAATTTTAATGTCTACCTATAATTATTCAATCAGTCATTCTGAATGCTCTCATTTTTTCCTCCTCGGTTACACTGCACATCATGGTAAGTATGGAAAAGGGCAAATCTTATGTGCAATTCACATGTCTAGGTCCACCTTTACTCAGCCTATATAAGGTGGAAGCAGAGACATAGAAGAATGACTATTCCTAATGTGAAGACACTTGGAAGGAGGCCTGTCTGGTTTTTAAAGTTGTTTTGCTCATTTTGTTAATTGAATTCCATCATGCACAAATCTTAGCAGTGAGTGAGAGCTCCCCACTCTGTGTCTCTGATGAAAAGAAGAGCAGCCAGAAACTGATTAACACTGATCTTACCACACAACCCCTTTCCCTTTGGTGTTGTATCTCAATTAGATTATAAGCCTTAAAGCAGGGAATCTCTTAAATTAACTAATTGTAAGCTACTTTGGGAACTTTTTGATTGAAGGACAGAGTATAAAAACTCTAAATGAACAAATTAGTAACACAGCGTAATACAAAACAGATTCTCTCAAGTCTTATTGGTAAAAACAGTGCACTCATAACAACACTGCACTAGCACCTTCCCGCTAGAGGAATAGGTCCTTATTCTCTTCCACATTGCAACAGTCCCCACTGCCTGAAAATCTGCACTAGTGCATCTTTCAAACATTTGGAGCAGATTTTGAAAATGTAGGAAGAGCTATAGGGTGGCAGGGATGGAAATATTTGTAACAGCCCCATTGATTTCTGGCCAGTGGCTTCACTTACTCTTATTTCATTCAATTTGTGGCCATATTTTTGCTTTATCTCCTAGTTTTGGGTTCACATTTTTCTGAACCAAATAAGGTGTGTTTGGGCACATCATCAGGTCAATGCTTAAAGTCATACATTATGGCTGGATTGCAACCTGACCATAATACCTTGATCATGACTGGGGGATGGGTTCAGTATGGCCTGGGGGAGGAGAGAATCATTAGAATCATTTAACTAAATCATCACCAGTTTAAAGATCATTTTTCTTTTAGTACCTGAAAATTAGGGTTTGGGTTGGGATAAGGGAGCCAAGCAGAACGAGAATTCTCCTGGTACTTGAATGGCCCGCTGAAGACTTGTGTTATCGCAGTCATGTTGAATACACAAACAGCTGAAACTGCTATGCTGTTCCTTTAAAAAAAGACAACAAAGACATAAACAAACAGAAGATGAAGTGAAGAAATTCTTTTAAACAGTCAGTTTAGAAAAATGCATTTGTTTTTTTTATGCTTATCATTATTTACATCAGTGGTTTGGTCCTCTGGTTGTTTTGGAGCTAAACATGCCATAAAATGCAGAAGAAACCGGAGTAAAAGGAGGGGTGGCTAAATGACGGTTTGTGAAAGGGTGAGCTGAATTGGGTTAAGAGCTTTAAAACATGTTTAAAAGGTGTGCTTAAAACCTGAATCTGGCCAAAAAATGTGCATATTCGCATGACTGTAAACCAGTAGTTATGGAAAAATGTGACTTCCTTCCTATATCCTAGTGTAGGCTGCTCCAGTGAATGTGTGTGTTTTAGAATCCCAAAACAGCTAATCTGTGCTGTAAACAAATGGAGCCATAGACACACATGTGGCTAAATGGAAACACAAATGTAAAGCAATTACAATGAAAACTCTCTGCCGCCATTCCTTTGTTCTGATCTTTATGAAATTAAAAAGCTTGAATTTACAGGAGGGTGAGGAGAGAGATAAGAAAGTTTATGTGTGCATTGAGATATCCACATGAGCACATATACCAGTGGTTCTCAACTTGTGGGTCCCCAGATGTTTTGGTCTACAACTCCCAGAAATCCAGCCAGTTCACCAGCTGTTAGGATTTCTAGGAGTTGAATGCCAAAACACCTAGGGACCCATAGGTTGAGAACCACTGGCATTTTATGATCCAACTCATCTTGAAGTTATTTGCCATCAGGTCTTGGGATTTTTGCCCCACTTATTTGTTCTGTGTTTTGACGCTGTCTGGAAGCACCTTTAATTCATCTTGGCTAAGAACCAGGGATTATGCAAACAGAAGTTCCAAACACTTGGAAATCCAAATTTGAAAACAATTGCTTTACTTAAGTTACTGAAACTATTCCTCATATATAATGACATACTATTCATGTGGTGTATCCTTTCCGGAACGACTAACAAAAACTGCAACACAGAACTTAAAGTTTATGAATTTAAAAGTAACATCATTATTTTTTTGAGTAGCAAGGGGCAACATTGTTACTTATTAACATTAATGAAACATACCTGCTTTTGGCCTCTTCTACACAGGCCACAATCCCAGGAGGAACTGGAATATATTATTCCAGTTCCCAGTTGTGGCCCTACACCCAAACCAAATACTGGGCTTTCCCTGGGGGAGGTGGCTGCATGCCCTCCTGAGTCATTTTCATGCACCAGGAGCCTTTGCCAGAGGGCATGTAGCCCCTCATGTATTTGGATTAAATGGGGAACTGGGAGGGGAAGGTGAGGTGCCATCCTGCTTCTTCATGCTCTTGGAGCCCAAAGAAACCAGGAACAAAGAAGTGATCCCAGGAGTCAGTCCTCACAGGATCCACACCTGGAAAGATCCAGACCTTACATTAAGGTCTTGATCTGTTGAGGTATCAAATTCATCTGGACTAAATTAGGAAACCCGTTTACTCTGGATTCATTTGAATATACCTAAGATAACCCATCATGAGTTATTGGCCTGTGTGGAAGGGCCCTTACTTAAATCTGGAAAATAAGAATCCCATGGTGGTGTTGGACATTCTCTGTTGCTCTCATTATAAATTTCATTTCTATACTTGGTAAATTTTTAACAATGAATTCTAAACTTATGTCTTGTGTTTTATGTATTTTAATTTTTATTCTATGTTTTAATATATGTTCCACAGAAATACATTTTAATATATGCCTTCTAGATAATGTTTTGTAATGGTGTGTTTTAAGTTTGTTGTGCCCTGCTTCAAGGAGAGGCAGGTAAGAAATAAAAAATATATAATTTAATTTAATTTAATTATTTTTATTATATCCAAGAAGTACTGAAGCAAATGTGTGTTTGGATATCTACAGTGAGACAAGTGCTACTGGATGTCTGCATGTAGGCTTTTCGGTGGCTCCAAAATCCCCTGGAAACCTCTAATCTCCAGAAAAATGGATGAAATGGCCAGAAACATTGTTCAGAACAGCATCATTAAAGCATCTCCCAAGCCCAATAAGCCTCAAAACTCACATTAAAATACAGAAACAGTCCACTGAAAAGCAGTCCCAGAATTCCAGAAATTCAAACCAGTAGTTACTTCCAGTCACTTAGCCAAAAATGCAAGCCAAATTGGCTCCTATTCCCACCAGTGACCTATGCCTGGCCAACTACATTCTGTTAATCGGGTGATGGATTGCTCTACGCACTTCAGAAAGAAGGGAATGAAGGTAAAGAATTCACACTAAGCAGAGTTTAAGATTTTCAAAGTTACATTAAAAAATACAACAGAATGTATAGTTCAAACTTCATAAGAAGTTGTTCCAACTCTATTAAAAAAATAACTTATTTTCTGTTTTGTTCGCAGAAATTATCCAACATACTGGTAGTTATCTTTTATATCATTTTAGAAAAGTTATCAAAATAGAAAAAACAGCTTGCCTACGGTATAAAACACGCTGTCTTGCTGCCCAATTCTTGACCAATTCAGGACTCATAACCAAGAGCAAGACGGCAGCCGAATGAATTGTGCTTCTGTGAGCCATTTGTTCTCCTTCGTTTATTTAGACCAGACTCTCTTATCTATAAAAATAATTAACGTTTACATTTCCACCACTAAAGAAGTGGTGTTAATCCTTTATTAAGCTACCGTTGTAAGATTAGATGGTTGAACTTTCATCATGGGGGTAAGGAATGAATTCATCATAAGCGACTGGTTATTTTTAACTGGTTACTTCTAAGCTCTGTGCATTATGCCCAATCCTATATTAAGCTTCACTTCTTCAAAACATTTCAAAATTAAAGCTACACTCCCAGAATCCCTGAGCTAATACAGAGAAGCTAATATAGTACATGGAGTGATCAAACAACACTTCCCTCTCTTGAATCACATTGCTTTTGAAAATCAAGGTATTAGGGCACTCCTATGTGTATCAGCACGTAATATATACTTAGCCCCTGAAGACAATAAGTGAAGTAGTTTGCCAATTGTTAATGAGGTGGGTAGAAGCATATGCAATCTTTCTTTCAAAAGATCTTTGCTCATGGGGGAAAGGCCTCTAATAATATGCTGTGTTGCCTATATTATCTGGTGGTCATGCTTTCAATTGCTTTTCATTCCATTGATGATTTGTTGGTTTTTTAAAAACTTTTGAACAATGGGCACTTCTGTGATGCACGCTTTTAGATATATCATTGTAAACATTTGTAAGTCATCTTGAGTCCTGTGGTCTGTGGAGAAAGCTAGGATATAAGATAATAAACAAATAACAATGTCTAAGTATCAATAATACAAGGGTTATCCAGAAAGTAAGGTTACAAGGCACGTAGTGCTTGTGGGGAATTTTCACGGGGGAAGTTGGTATCACTGCGGGAAGCCAGTAGAACTGAATGAGCAGTGCCAGTCATCAGTAGCTCATCAACTGGCGTTGTGGTGAAGGTTAGAGATGAGCATCCTAATTCCGTTTCCCTCAAAGTGCTAAGTCTGTGCTGTAATACACTACCTAGATGCTAAGGGCATGAACGCCACTGCTATTCATTGCGAAATCATTTCAGTTTATGGAGAAGATGTAATGTCAAGACAGCATGCGACAAAATGGGTACAGAATATATTGTGGAACCATAAAGAAACTTTGCAGAGCCATCCAAAACAAATGTCTTGGGATGTTGACAGCGGGAATCTATCTTCTTTATGACAATGCATGTCCGCACACTGCCCATAAAACACAAGAGTTGTTGACTTCATTTGGTTGGGATGTTTTAAGCCACCCATCTCACAGCCCTGATCTTGCCCCCGGTGACTATCATCTGTTCACTAAATTGAAGGAACACCTTGGTGGAAAGCACTTTTCCGATGATGACAATGTGAAAATCGAAGTGAATAACTGGCTGAAAAAGGTGGAGAGAAACTTATATGACACAGGCATCAAAAACATGTGCCATGTATGACAAAATGTATTTAACTGAATGCTACAATCCATGTAAGTTTTATTAAAATATATTCATTCTTTGTATTTTAAAAAATGTAGCCTTACTTTCTGGAAAACCCTTGTATTACAGCTCATGTGTTCAACTAAGAATCAGATCTGAGTTGAAGGAAGGCTGAATGCTTCCAGCGCCAGACATTTTCTTACAGTAAGCACCCACTTATGCAAATGGTGTGAATTAATCCTGTCATGGAAGTTATTCACAAATTGCTTAGGTTCAGCTGAGTTCAAGGCAAGCCTTCAGGCTCTAGGCTGCTATTACACTACACCATCTCAGCACTTCTTGACAGACAAGCATGCCTGTTTCTTAAATAAAACAAACATTTGTTTAAGATCATCAGTGCTTTTGGGTAGACTGGTTATTCAAAGGCTGAACCCTCCAGGGAAGGCACAACATAAAATACAACAGTAAGCCAATATTGAGCGGAGCAAAGGAGGGAGGTTTATGTGAAGTGGCTTCAAATCAGGAATGAACAGTGAGCTGGTACAACAAACTCAGCAGAACAGCAGAGTTTTAAGGCTATTGATTTTTTAAAGGTTTTCCTGAAGCAAGATAAAAGATAGTTCAGTGCAAGATGAAAGTGGCTTCATGGGAATACTTTAATTCCTTTATTCATAATATAAAATGTTGGAATTGTCTTTTTTAAAAGACCGCTACTAATCGTAGACTTTGTCTCCTAAAATACAATGTTAGCAAAGCTCCTATCCACTGGGCCTCAGAGCATACACATTACCACCAACTTATACTGCTCTTTAGAAAGGCAGCTGATTCATGCTCGGCACAGCACTCCATATAGTTCTGTAAAACATCTGTAATCATTTTGAGGTTTGCTTCAACTGATTCCAGAGACAAAAGGTAAAGTTCTTATACAATTTCTCTTGACTCTATTCTGCTAACACTTTCCTTAGTTTTATCTTACATAATTTTCCATCTGGCATGGTACGTTGCCACTCTCCTCCCAAGAGGAAATTGCTGGCTCCTATGATCTGAAGATTTCGTATAGGGTATATTTGGATTTCATTTCCTGGTTGGCTGTGTTTGACTTTCCCTTCAAAACCCGTTCAACCATCGGCAATGTTTTCCTACTGGCAGGGGAAAACCCCCCAAAGATGGCACCCCAAAATCGCTGGGGCACAAGGGGTAGGGGCACAAAAATCGCACAAAATCGCTGGGGCACAAGGGGTAGGGGCACAAAATCACTGGGGCACAAGGGGCACAATTCTCCTAGATTTTGCTAGGAGAAAACAATTGTCCCTTGATAAATGGGCATGGGGATTCCTGCAACTATAAAGACATCAAATTGCTTCAATTTAAACTCTACAAATAGCTTGAAATATCTCACTACGATGTGGAGAAAATGGCATTTTGGACACAAATGGGAGAAAGGGTGAAAAATGACACCCAAATGGAAAAGAGAGAGAAAACTATGAAGACAAGACTAGAGGGGAGTGGATTATTTAGAAGGGCCACTTGTGTTTCTTCCCAAGACTTGCTCTTAATCTATATAAATAAAAATGTAATGTTCGTTTGTGGGATTAACAGAACTCAAAAACCACTGGACGAATTGACACCAAATTTGGACTCAAGACACCTAACAACCCATTGTATGTCCATCACTCCAAAAAATAGATTTTGTCATTTGGGAGTTGTAGTTGCTGGGATTTATAGTTCACCTACAATCAAAGAGCATTCTGAATCCCACCAATGATGGAATTGAACCAAACTTGGCACACAGTTCTCCCATGACCAACAGAAAATACTGAAAGTGTTTGGTGGGCAGTGTCCTTTGGTTTTGGAGTTGTAGTTCATCTACATCCAGAGAGCACTCTGGACTCAAACAATGATGGATCTGGACCAAACTCTACACGAATACTCAATATGCCCAAATGTGAACACTGGTAGAGTTTGGGGAAAATAGAATCTTGACATTTGGGAGTTGTAGTTGCTGGGATTTATAGTTCACCTACAATCACAGAGCATTCTGAACCCCACCAACGACAGAAATGGGCCAAACCTCCCACACAGAACTCCTGTGTGGGCCACAGCAACGCGTGGCAGGGGACGGCTAGTGAACTATATAATTCCTTAATGAACTATATAATTCTTAAACACAATGTCAATCAATATACTTTTATTTTCTCTAATACATTCACCTAATTCTAAATAAAACTAAATATACAACCAAAACGCATGCAAAACACAGCCCAACATCTTTTCAACAGGAACACGCACCTTGCTTCTTTCAATTGACAACCACAATAAACAGAAAGCAGTCAACATCTATTATTTGCCTTCACTTCCAATGCATTTCAGAATGACATCCGAAGTGCTCATTGTTACCTTTCAAACAGAATAGAGGAATATGTGGCATTCCAAATGTTTACTGGAGTGCAACTTCCACCAGTCCTAACCGGCCTAGCTAGTAATGATGGGTAGTAGTATCGGGGAACATGGCATAATATCTGGAAGGCTTCATCTCTTCAGTCCTGCTATAAACATGTCAGAACCATTTCCCATTACCAAGTTATAGAGCTAGGATTCCACTTTAACTGCCAAAGCAGCATCCTGAGGAATTCTATAATGTGGGAGTTTTTTTTAGGGTGGAAAACCTACAGCCTCACCAAACTATAAATCCCAAGATTTCATAGAATGTTGCCATGGTAGTTAAATGGAATGATACTGCTATTGCTGTAGGACTATTATTTTCTGCCTGGCTCCACATGACCATTTCTATCTTTGAGACATGTCCTCCCCCTGGACACCCCAGCAGCATCCCAAGTTTAGTTTGCTGGGATATAAAGCAACACCATCCACACTACAGCACCCTGGTTCTCAAATGGGTTCCCTACCTTGTGAAGCCCACATGGGCATTCTTGATAACATTTTGTTCCTCAAGCAACATGACATCATATTGTAGAACCTTTTGCCTTGGATCAAGAGATCTTCTTCACTTTATAACAATAACACTGCAAGTGTGGCATCTGTTTTCTCCAACCTTTTTTTAAAGTGCAGTATGATGGTTATTAATGGAATTCTTGTCAATGAACAGGTGTATTTCAACACTCCTAATTAATTTTCTGGGTCTTTAAAAACTATTTTTAACATAGCCCACTGTTTGGCAGTATACGTTTCCTGGGATGTATGGGAAGTCACAAGACCTCTTCCTCATGTTTATTCTGAACAGTCTAGAAATAAAAATACTGCATAAACTACATACACATTAGTGGTAAAGATCCCGTAGATTAAGTCCAGTTCTGGCAGGAAGAACGTACTCTGTAATTCATTGTAGTAAAATGGGATTTCTCCAGGGAGGGAACAGTTCAGACGAGCTTTCATGAAGGTGGTCCAAGTGTCCTCTAACAAAAACCTGCCCCCGATGTCATTCTTACAAACTCGAGCAGCCCGAGAAAATACTATTTTCCCACAGTCATGTTCCACAGCATTCTCTCGGAAGAAGAAATACACGAAATTTCCAATGTCATAGGAAGACACAAAATTTGGTTCTGAAATACAATTTAGGACAGGGATAAAAATTAAAGGAAAATAACTTTTTCATTTTAGTGTAGCTTTTTTCCCCCACAAGGGAGAAAACATTACACTTGCATTATTGTTGATTAACCATCAGACATCTAATTCTGAAGATGACAAGACTTACGATATTCAAGATTTTAGAAACATTTTGAAACATAACAAATCCATAAATGGGGAGTGGGTGAATTTTGCTCTTCCGCTCTCATCTTGTCCTATAAATGTCTTCTCACATAATTAACTCCACTCATTTATTTTTATCTCCCTTTATGATTGAGATGGCCACTCCAGAACTAGACGTTGTCCTTTTTTATTCAGATACATCTCAAAAACTCACCTTTTCTACAAGGTCTTTGAGAAATCCCTTGTTCTCTTTCCCACCTGCAATCTTAACCATGTACAACTGCATTTCATATACATATTTGTCCCTTGCCACCTCTCTGTCTCTCTCAACAGACTGTCAATTATTTGAAAGCAAAAACTCGTCTTTTTTTTTCCTTCCTTACTTTTTTGCTTGTAGAATTTTGTAAAGTACTATGGACATTAATATGTTGATCTTGATAATGACAATGACACAGACAAGGACAAAGGGAGGGATGTGCTACAGCAATTCTCCACAGACAGGCAAAATCTACATATCAATTATATATTTTTTCTAAAAATGCTATGGATTTAATCTGGAAGGCAGAGTTTAAACACTGCCTCTAAACTATGGCTTTATGTCGGCATTTTACTCTTAACCATTTACAGTCCCACTCTTGCTGCCTTTTTGCCTTTTTTTTCTCTCTCTCTCTATAATTGCCAGTTTTAAGCCTTCTACTTTAAAGGCCAAGGAGACCAACCCTACAAACCTGCAGGAATCAAGGATGAAGGTTTCAGAAGCATGATAGATTATGCACATGGCTTTCCCCCCTTCACAATGAAGCAACTTATCTCATTCAAAAACAGCATTTAACCATAGAAATAATGCATCTTCCATGTACTCACCATTGAGCCACTTGGAGTTATACTGTGCTGTTCGGAGGGGAGGAAGAATCCCTAAGCTGCGATAAATGGCAGGATCCCTTCCAGGAAAGTCCATGACGGTTGCAGCATATAACTCACCAGTACTGGCTAAGAGAGCTGTGGAGTTGTGCTGGGGACTGTATGGGCATCGTGCCATGCCACTGATCTGATCATGTATCTCTTCCAGGTTATTTAGCTACAACAGGAAGCGTGAGGATGGGAAAGAAATAATCACAATAGTTATAAATAAGTCCACAATGTCACATTCAAAAGAATAATTTGAAGTGACCACTTTCTAGCTACTCCTATTCTGATGTCAGCAATCTAGTGACCACCTGAATGTTCCACCTGAACATTAGGAAGAACTTTCTGACTGTGAGAGCTGTTCAGCAGTGGAACTCTCTACTCCGAAGTGTGGTGGAGACTCCTTCTATGGAGGCTTTTAAACAGAGGCTGGATGGCCATCTGTTGGGGGTGCTTTGAACAAGGATTCTAGTGGTGGATATATCATTCCATCCATCCATCAACATTTTCTTCAGGCTCTGAAGAAAAGAGCCTGCTCTACAAATGGAAGTTCTCCAAGCAATTCTAAACCCCAAAGAGCAGAATCTCAACTTTGGTTTATCATATTGTCTGTATACAAGCAAAGTGCTAGAAACAAGGAAGACAATTTAATTCCCGCTTTATACATGTTCACATAACGTAGATTGCTGAATGCCTAGGTAGAGATTAGATATGTGGCATATATAATGGGGAGGAGTATGAATCCTATTTTATAAAAGACCTCTCCTGGGCCTAAAATAGCCAATGAAGGGCACTAAAGGACATTTTTGTAAAATTTCAGGAAATTGGAGATTGCAGTTTGATACAGGTTGTGAAGTTTTTCTCTTTCAGTTCTCAATAGAGCCTATATTTGATGCATAAAGAACGACACAAGTGGCTCTCTCTTGGAAAGGGGATCCAAAGGTACACAACCAGAGAAATGGGCCTTCCCTGTGTACCCCTGGTGCCACTTCCACCCAATATCTATAATTCCCTGCCAAGATGGAATATGTATTAAAACAATTTATAATGTGGATTTGTTCATATTCTTACGGTTCGATTAGTGCAAATAGGTGTAAAAGCATTCGTTCCACATGTAAAGAGCTTGTCCCCACCAATAAGGAGAACACGGATGTAATTCTGACATTCTTCCTGCAACAACAACAGCAAAAAGGGAAGAGGGGTGAGAATCAGGGTCACTAATATTTCACAAGCAGCACACACTAAATAAAATATAAGCTATAGTTCATTGCTACCCTACAGTATGTGCCTGAACATGAAAAATTTGGATAAACCAGCTCTGAATGCAACTGACGGGATGAGAAATCAGATTATACAGTCATACCTCCACATTTGCAGGTTAAACTTTCTCAGATTTGATTATTTGCTGATTATTTGCCACCAACTCCACTGCTATTTTATGCTATTTATCAAAGTCCCTATCAAAAATAGCACAGGACTGCAGCAGAGGTTGCAGCAAATAATAAATTGATTTTTCTTTTTTCAATATTGGGGGGGGGGGGGAGCAAATGAGAGATATTTGTATTTTTCTCACTTTCCCCCTGCCTATTATTTTCTTTTGTTTTTATTGGAGAAACTAAGATTATCTCATGACCACACTTATGGTTTCAAAATATGTTCACTGTTCCTATTGATTTCCTCCTAAAAGAATGGGCCAAAACTAGTAAGGAAAACAAGGGGCTTTTCCTATCAGGATTAATCTTCTTAATTAATTCAGAGTTTATCCCATAAATTCAATGTAGTCATTTTTTCTTCTTCTTTTTACCCTAAGCCCTAAGAAGCGAGTGACTCAAAAGCTTCCTTCCAGAATGGTAAATGCTAACAACATAGTTGCTTCTGTTGAGGTTATGAGTTCAGCATACCATAGTTATTCAGATGGAGCTTGATACATACATGCATGATAATTCACCTCTGGACCTGCCAGTTGGTGAAAAACTTGCATGAGGCCCATGTTCTCAATCAAACTGGAAGACCCAGCAAGAGTAGATCCATTGAAGCAATGAGATTTACATGAAATTTCAATACTAACTTTACAGAATTTGAACTACACAGGTAATCTATGCGAAAGTCTTTATCCAATTCATTTGACTCAAATGAGCTTCTTGGCGGGGAAGGTATTACATTAAGCACCATGTCCTAAATGCTGTTTTTAGTTCCAAATAAAGTAGACCGACTGGATTTGTTGAATTTACATATGTATTAACTCTGTATTCAGCAACTGATTTAAATAGTCCACTAGAGTTGGGATTATCAATTGGATTTAGGTCTGCTCTTTTGTTCCTTTATCCCACATAGATTTTAACCCATTTAACATTTTTTCTATTAGGATTAACCCAATTACATATATGGCAATTCTCTGTTGCACGGTGCTCACCAGAAATCAGTGGGGTTTCCTTCTGAATAAATGTGCATGGAAATGAGGATACAGTTGCATTTTCTCCTTTATATCTAGAAATGGATTCAGAACTACATACTCACCTTTGATTTACCTTTACTGTAACAAGCTTTTTCAGTAGCCTCATCACAACGCCATTCCACACCCTAAAACATGAAAACACAAGCATTGTTTGCAGTCAAAGGCAAGAAAAACACAGAGGTCCACTTTAGAGAAAATGGAGGCACACTTCCAATTGGCCACAATCATTTCACACTGCATGTGAAATCAAACACTGTGATAAATGCTGAACTCAATCTGCAGTGGATTGAGAGCCAAGTCAAAAGTGACGGGGGAGCCATGTTTGCTTTTTATCTATTTTTCTCTGTTCATGTATAAAGCATGGAGGGGAGAGACACAGATTTATGAATCATTCCATATTTTAAAAGGCATATAACTGCTCTTTCCTATCTTCCTGAGTAGAGGGGTCATTAGTCACCACAAGGTTGCTGAATCTACTCCAGATTGATCTTCAGAGCTCCTGCAACTTTATCAAGTTGAAAATTGTGGGGGGTTGTAGATGTAAATAAATAGAAGCTTTACCACTGTTTCTGAACCAAAATATACCCTGCAGTATAATAATGTGTCACTCAGATTTGTGTAATGAGTAACAGTAACTTTACTTCAGTTCAAAAGGTCAAACAGAGCAACAATATATAATATAGTCTCTCTGAATTCTTACAGAGAACAGTCCCTTTAAATCATCTTTAAAATGTGCTTCATGCCTTAGAAATGATCAGGCTTCAGAGAGTTGGCAGCCATTTCCTTCCCGGCTGTTTCCAGTCAGCACTCTCTTCACTCTCCGAGATGAAAGTGACAGTTAAAACCGTTTGTCTCAGTAGCAAGCTCAGACAGCAGCCAATCGGAATTTTGGCTCCTAGCATGCTCAGCCAATCAGCTTCCAACACATGTCTTTCCAGTCAACCCATTACATCACGGTGTCTTTTTACAAATCCCCACAGAAAAGGAGCCCTACTGGTATGAAACTATGGTCCAGCACTGGTAGTGTGGAAAGAGGATTCAAAAGGTCCAAAATAACCTGTTTGTATTCCTGTGTGTGTATCATTGCTTTTAAGGAACTAAAACTTGACAGATTATTGAAACCACTACACATCTTTACTGTTCAAGAACAAACTAAAAAACATATTCTTGTTTAATTTCATCTGAAGAGTTTGTGTGTCTTCTTAAACATTCTGGCAAGGAGGTGGTCTATGAAACAATAGAAGGTGGCAGCAAAAGAACCTTAATAAGTATTTGGTGGCTGCAAAGAAAAATATAATATACAGTGATAGCACCCCACTGCCCTGTCTTGTGTGTGTGTGTCCCTTGTCCCTCAAGGCCTTCGCCTGGCCATACCTGACGTCTAGACTTTATTGCACCCCTCCTTCTAAACTACAATCCCCAGAAGTCTGCAAGAGGCAGCCACAGGATTTCAGATAGGATGAATGCTCTTTACCTACTCTATAAGCTTTTGTGTGATAAGGTGTGAACCAGAGACCTCCAAGTCATCCTATCATCAACAGCCCTGCTCAGGTCTTAAAGAAAGAACTGCGAATTCCTTGATTGAGTCTCTCTATCTGGAATGAATGAGGTCTTCCTCTTTTCCTACGCCTTTATTACCAAGCATTATTGTTTTTTTTCTAATCTGTCATGTGTTCTCATTTTTTTATTGCATTTATATTTATTTCATTACAAAAACAATCTCTATAATTCATATAATTACTTCTTTTCCTTTTCCCAGTTGTGCTACCCCTTGTGCTCCCCATCTCCGGAATTCTTCTTTTCTTTATGCTCCCACCAGAACCTCATTTCTTCTGGTGGGGGTTGGTTCCCATCTTCTTTCCTTAATGTTTCCTCAATAAATATTTTCCATATATTTTCAAAATCATTATCCTTCCTTAGGCCTTTTTTAACCTTTAGATTGCATGTTAATTTATCATTTATTGCTAATTTCCAAATTTCCTTGTACCATTCTTCTATCTTAATTTCCACCTCTCCTGTCATGTGTTCTCATGATATGTCTAAAGTGTGACAGATATCGTTTAGTCATCTTGGTGTCTAGAGAGGGGTCAGGCTTGATTTCCTCTAAGACTGTCTCATCATCCGGGTTTTGTGGTCAAAGCCATTAAAACAGGGTTTACTGTGCTTCCAAGTTTGCCTGTGCCTGCAATAGATGTTTGGCACAACAGATGTTTGGCACATTTAGCCTGGCTCTCAAGCTAAAGCTTGTTTGACATGGGAAACAGTACATTGTTGCCATCAGTATGGCCTCGTGACCCTTGTGGCCATGGATTCCCACACCATGGAAAGATAGTGCCACTGGGAGTAATTCTTGGAAACATTTTGTCCATTAAACTGCATATTAAAGGGAATAAAACGGGTGCTTTGTCAAGACTGCAACATTATTCCTGATCAATAATATATTATTAATTTCCCATGCAACATATTAGCAGGATTACAGATTCCAAATAAAGCTTGAGAGGGTCTTATATCCCAACGGGGCCCTACTTCAAAGGGCTCTTCCTTTTACCAAACTGACGGATTAAAAGAGAATCGGAATCATCCATTCTTTGTCTGCTGAGGGGACAGTTTCCATGGAGACATGGCTGACAATCCCTGCTGTCAGCTGAGACCGACTGGCAAAAAGCTTCTAGTGTCTAAGTATGATCCAGCAATCTGTAGCACTGATGCAAGTTTTCACCTAACGACAGTGCAAATTCAAATGAACACCATGTTCCCTTGACATGGCATCAGCAACGCCAAAAGATAGAAAAGCAGGTATACAATGTACTGAAACAAAAGACAGAAAAGTTAAGAAATGGAGACCAGAAAACCCTAACTAACATTTCCTACCCTGGGTTGCTGTGACTTTTCCGGGCTGTATGGCTATGTTCCAGAAGCATTCTCTCCTGACGTTTTGCCTGCATCTATGGCAGGCATCCTTAGAGGTATGTTAGAAACTAGAAAAGTAGGGTTATAAGTCTGTGGAATGTCCAAGGTGGGAGAAAGAACTCTTGTCTGTCTGAGGCAAGTGTGAATGTTGCAATTGGCCACCTTGATTCGCATTTAATGACCTTGCAGTTTCAAGGTCTGGCTGTTTACTGCCTGGGGGAATCCTTTGTAGGGAGGTGTTTGTTTATTTATGACATTTATGTGCTGCCCTTCTCACCCCAAAGGGGACTCAGAGCAGCTTAGAAGATACACACACACACACATATATACACACACAATATATATTATATTATTAGCATAGCACAATATCAGTATTATAGTAATATTGTACTATACCATTATATTGTAATATTATTAGTAATATTACATGTAATATAAAATATATAATTATAATATATTACTAGTATTATGTTGGGAGGTTATTAGCTGGCCCTGATTGTTTCTTGTCTGGAATGCCCCTGTTTTTGAGTGTTGTTCTTTATTTACTGTTTTGATTTTAGAGTTTTAAAATACTGATAGCCAGATTTTGTTCATTTTCATGGTTTCCTCCTTTCTGTTGAAATTGTCCACATGCTTGTGAATTTCTATGGCAAGACTTCGACAATACACTTCCTACCCTGTCTCTGCTGTCTTCTTCATAATCAAAACATCTATCCTTTTTGTCATAACTCTTCTTATTTCTGGTAGATTAACTTTCCAGGATCCTTTGGGTATCATTGGAGATCTTGTTATTCTTGTCACTAACTTCTCTATTTATACTTTTTTGTTATTCCTAAATCCCTGTAGTACTAATTTTCCCTTAATATTGTAAAAATAACAATCTTTTCATTTTTCTTCTTCTTTTAAATAGTCAATAAAAAGCTGTTATTCTTCTCCAAATTTGGAAACTTCATATTTGTCTTAACAAAGTTTTAACCAAAACCTGATTGATAGCTTCATACAGATAGATTTTGTCTTCTCATTTCCCAGAAGCAATACATTATAATTAGTCGATATACATTATTAGACCGTGGGCTGATACTGAAGGGGAGCAGCTCCAAGATTTCTCATTAATGGATTTTAGACGTTCTGCCTTCAGAGGATACTTAACCCATTGAGCTTCCTGCAAAGAAATCCTAAAATGTTCCTGGTTGGATTCTGGGATCACTCCTACCTTTCAGAAGGACCTACTTCTGTTTTTTCAATGCATTGCCAAGAAATTGCTTAGAGCAGCATGAAATATGGAAAAGGCCTTCCTGAGGGCAGAAAAGAATTAATCTTTCATGCTAGGACATTGCTTTAAAAGGTCTTCTTGTATTAGAAGGACACAGAATATAAGTGTTGGAAGCAGGTGTTAAGACTAGAGGAGAGCTGGAGGTCAGGAGGCATTTTAAAGCACAAAATTGAAGTCTGAAGAAAACAGTTCCCCAAAGTGTCAAAGAGCTTTCTAAAATCTCCCAAATCATTCAAACGATGACAGGTACAAATGATGAAGAGCTTGCACTGTGCTCACCAGACACATCCTGGGAAGAAGGAAGACACTAGGCAAAAGGAACAAAAGGTGTGTAGCGATGGTAGAGGAGATTGAGTCTCCAAAGAAAATGAAAACAAATGAGATGTTTCAGGAGTCATTTCACTGCCAAATAAGCCAGAAGCCAAGTATTTCCTCTTTCTTGTTTCCCTTGTAACAATTCAGCAACACAAAAAGTGTTCATGCATACTCTACTACCCCAAGTGGCAGTCAATCGAGAGATGTAGAAGTTGGAGATACAACAGGGATCTTGTAGTGTTGAGTATTGTCAGATAACTGCTAAAACATGAGTTCGAAGCCTGGTATGCTTTGCTACTCTGAAAGGCCAGATGAAGACCCAAACCAAATCTGAAGGCAAAATGATTAGAAGTTTATTCTTTCTTAGGCTGGTTCCACACAGAAGGAAGCTCCGTGCTGAACCGGGTTTAAAAAATCCGGATTGGGGTGAACTTTATTCTACACACCAGCCTCAAAAGCCCACACTTTCCATGGGGGAGTGTCTAGATGTCCTCCCGGTACCTTCCAGGAGAATACCCAGACACAACCCCCTCCCCTAAAAAAGACTTTAAAAATAAATTTATTTACCTGACCATCATCAAACTGCTGCCACAGCTCTACTGGCTCATAGAAATGACTCATCAGGAG